GATGGTATGACTGGTTTTTTCTTTCAGAAGTACTGGGATGTGGTAGGGGAACAAGTCATTCAAGAAATTCAGAGTTTTTTCACCACCGGTATTTTTCCTATGGAATGGAATTATACTCTGCTATGTCTTCTCCCAAAAACAGTGAATGCCAACAGGATGTCTGATCTTAGACCAATACGTTTATGCTCAGTATTTTATAAGATCATCTCTAACATCCTTGTGAAACGTTTGCAACCATATTTAGCAGACATAGTTTCTCCTACGCAGTCTGCCTTTGTTCCGGAGAGGTTGATTTCAGATAATATTCTAATTGCACATGAACTGGTGCATGGTTTGAGAACTCATCCGATTCTTTCAAAGGAGTTCATAGCAATGAAATCTGATATGTCAAAGGCATATGATCGGGTTGAATGGTCATATCTGGAAAACTTGTTGATTGCTTTGGGTTTTGATAAGAAATGGATTCATTGGGTGATGTTCTGCGTCTCAACTGTTACATTCTCTGTGTTAATCAACGATCAGCCTTTTGGTCTTATTTCTCCATCTCGTGGTCTGAGACAAGGAGATCCTCTCTCTCCTTCCTTGTTTGTTCTGTGTACAGAGGGTTTGTCTCATCTCCTCAAGAAAGCTGAACAAGAAGGGTCTATTTCTGGTGTTAGATTCTCGGAGAGTGGACCATCGATTCACCATCTCCTCTTTGCAGACGATAGTCTTTTTTTATGTAAAGCAGAGGATGGTCAATGCTTAGAGCTCAAGAGGATTCTTTCGTTGTATGGTCAAGCCTCTGGACAAGTGATAAATCTAGCAACATCGTCTCTGACTTTCGGTGCAAATGTTAAAGAAGATTCAAAAGGTAAAATTCGTGAAATATTTAGTATTTTCAATGAAGGTGGAGCTGGTACCTACTTGGGTCTTCCAGAATGTTTTAGTGGGTCGAAATCAGATTTTTTGGGTTTTATTCAAGATAGGTTGAAATCAAGGTTAACAGGCTGGTTTGCTAGGAATTTATCTCTTGGTGGAAAAGAGGTTTTGTTAAAGGCAGTAGCTTTAGCTTTGCCTGTTTATGCGATGAGTTGTTTCAAGCTTCCAAAATCAACAATTGCTAAGTTGACCAGTGCAATGGCTGATTTTTGGTGGAACTCTTTGGATCACAAGAAGAAAATACATTGGATAAGCTGGGAAAAATTGTGTTTACCAAAACCTCTAGGTGATCTCGGCTTTAAGGATTTAGAAAGTTTCAATCAGGCTCTTCTTGCAAAACAGGCATGGAGATTACTTCAAGACCCTACTTGCCTTTTTGCGCAGTTGATGAAAAGTAGGTATTTTGAGCATGATGATTTCCTGGCTGCATCAATTGGATTGAGACCATCCTTTGCTTGGCGGAGTATTCTCTTTGGGCGTGAGCTTTTGCTAAAAGGTATCTCTAAGAAGATTGGCAATGGGAAATCGTTTCATGTCTGGAGTGATCCTTGGTTAAATGATGTTTATTTCAGAGCGCCTTTTATGAAAAACATCTTTATTGATCTCAATCTTAAGGTTAGTGATTTAATGGAGGAAAGTTATTCAAAATGGAATCTGGAGATTCTAGAAGAGCTATTTTACCCAGGTGATATTGAGCTTATCCTTAAAATCAAGCCTTTGGGTAATCATGATGATTATTGGTGTTGGAAACACAATAAAAGTGGTGACTTTTCGGTTAGCCCTGCCTACTGGTTAGCTCATACATCCATCAAAGAAGAATTGTTTGAAGACGCTGGAATTTTACCATCGTTGAATGGGTTGAAAGAAAAAGTGTGGAATCTGTTTACTGTTCCAAAAATAAAGACGTTTCTATGGAGAGTTTTGAGTGAAGCAATTCCAGTTGCAAACAATTTAATAAGGCGGGGAATAAAAGTTGATAAGCGTTGTCAATCGTGTGGGGAGGAAGATGAATCTTCTAACCATGTTCTTTTTACTTGTACGGTGGCGAGACAGGTTTGGGCTCTTTCCGATTTTCCTTTGCCTTTGGGAGGTTTTCACGAGAGCTCTATCTACGTCAACATTCACTATGTGATGCAGATGGGAAAAAACATTCAGGTTCCTTTGACAGCGCATAGATCTTTTCCTTGGATTATGTGGTATCTTTGGAAGAACCGGAATTCATTTCTTTTTGAAGGTGAAAAATATGGGTTCTTGGAAACTATTGGCAAAATCAGAGATGATGCCAATTTATGGTTTATTGCGCAGGAGTTTGAGTCTCTATCTCAGGATGATTCCAATACGAGAGCAATAAAGGCCTGCAGCAAATGGCAACCACCTCCGCGTGATTGGTTAAAATGTAACGTGGGGGTGTCATGGACAAAGAGATATAATATTGCAGGTTGTTCCTGGGTTCTAAGAGATCATGAAGGAAATGTCATGATGCATAGTAGGAGGGCCATGAGTGGAGTGGCAAATTTGGATCAAGCAAAATTTCAAAGCTTGGCATGATCGATTGAAAGTTTGGGTTTTCATAATCTAAATCGAATTATAGTTGCAGCAGAGGCTAATCATCTTATTGGGGCTCTAAAACGTCCGATAGCTTGGCCTTCTTTTAAAGGGGAATTGTTTCTTCAAAACATTTTGGGCAAATTTCAAGATTGGAAGGCAGAAGTGGAAATCAGACATCGAAATAGAGGTGCTTTCCTTATTGCTCAAAGTGTAATCTGGGAGAATAGAGTTCACTCTTATGTGGCTCGTGGAGCTCCGGTTTGGCTTCATCAGATTTTTGATAGTGATAAAACTTTTCCCTCTGTTTTATTAAGTTAACTCTTCCTATATTGGTTGCGAAATCTAGTGGAATCTTTTGTTACTTAGGTGGATAGTTAGTGCTCGTGATGTCCACTTTTTGGGATTTTCTTTCTTTCCCATTATCTGTAATCGGTTGCAGGTTCAATATAATATATTCTGTAGGAAAAAAAAAAGATAAAAGTACTTTATATACATATGTATTACATATACATCTCACATATATAGCAGTATATTTTATAACAGAAAGGGAATATATATTGGTAAGACGCCATTGAATCAGTAAAGCTCATATATTGAATGAGTGAGAAACTATATCATTTGGCTTTGTACAGTCACCATTAAAAAAATCAATAAATAAATATTAACCCTCAATAATACATACTTAATTTTTTATATAAGATTCATTAGAGAGTCAACAATACAATTGGTGAGAGCCAATTGACTTGGGAAAAGAGGGAAGCGTTCAAGTCTGAGGTTATTTATAGAATATTATGATATGATTTTTATAAATTAATAATTTTTTATAAATTAATAATTTTTTATGATTTCAATATTGTTAATTTATAGAAATTTTAGTATAATTACTACGTAAAAAACTAAAATGAAAATTAAAAAAATAATAATAGTTTTATTTTTTACTGTAATTTTTTTGTCGAAAATGTCATAATTTTTTTAAAGTAAAAGTTAAATTAGGAACATTGCCAGCAAAGTTATAGACTTATAGTGTTACTGTTGGGCCTACATTTACCACAACAGATCCTGAGGTGACATGTGATTACCGAGCTCCATCCAAATGCTGACTTCTTTATCTAGGCCTGTCAACAGTTCCCTAGCAAACTGTTCCCGAACAGATAGTGAGTTTACTAAACTAGGCATGTTGTACTATAGTAAGTTTACCAAACCAGGCGTGTTGTACTATCCCATCTGTTTTTGCTCGTGCCGTGTGGATGAGACTTGTCAAAGAGAAGAGAGTATAAAAAGAGATTGAATGCCAAAAGAAAAGAGGGATCCAAGACCTTCAAATTGAAACCAAATCTCGAGAGAATACACCTCAAAAGGAGAGAAAGAAAGGGAGAGGAGAAACCTCTGATCTCCATCTCACTAGAGCTCGTTCTAGTTCCGTTCAGAGAGCGAGACTGAAGGGGATACGTTCGCTGTCCCAAAAAGGTATATCAGCCGAGATAAATATTCATTTCCCCCTCTCTCGTACATCATAACACCCATGTAGAGAGTGACTCTACCTCGCTCTCGTCATGGTCCTTTTACCATACTATCATCCTCACCAAACATCAGACGAGTATCACAATCCTCGGACGAAGTACTCAAATTATAAAAACTTCACCAAACCTATCTCTTGAGTTCTTGTTCCCAGTAGGGCGTGCATTGACTTGAATATCGTAAAACCTTTAAGAGGAAAACCCTCTTCTGACCCCAGAGGCCCGACTTATTCGTTTGCCAATATAAACAGAATCTCGCCAGACTTTCGCCCTGGAGCCTCATACTGATAATTCCATAGAAGATAAAATTTAGAGACACAACTCTGCCATCTAAATAAGCACACAATCCCTGTAAATATTTTATAATTTGCTCTAGTTATATAAAAGTTTTAATATCTCATTTGTGTAAAATCACGTATCTCTGAATTTTTTATTTTATTTTAATTTATTTGAATGGTTTCATTAGAGAAAAAATTATTTGATTCAGATAATCTTAATATATAAATCAGATTATTAATGACTTAAAAACATCGAGTCCTTAAATTTAACATGAACCCTTTCATAATATTTAAATCATAATTTAAATTTCCCTCAGAATAAAAAAACTAAATTAACATGAATATTCAAAAAATATGTATATAAACTTATTAATAAATCCCGAAAATACATGTTTGCGAAACAAAGAAAATACTAGTATGGTCTAAATAGAAAATAAAACAATTAATTTTCAATGGAAAATTTATTAAATACGTTTTTTTATCAAAGGAAATACTATGAATTAATTAGAAAATAAAACAATAATTTTCAACGGAAAATTTATAAAACACATGTTTTGATCAAAGGAAATATTAGTATGGATTAAATAGAGAATAACACAATAATTTTCCATAATATACATGTTTGTGAAAACTAAAACAGCCGGCAATCCGTGTAAGAGACGCGTCCCTACCACAATAAATAACTCTATTTCCTTTACTACTGGTTGAGTATTTTGGGTGTTTGTTAAAACAAAGTCAGCATATTATTACGCCTATAAAGGCCACTGCAAAAAGAATCGATTTAACGCATCTCAATATCCCATCTCCCTCAAGTATCACACAAACACACATAAAAACCCAAAAAATGGATGGCGAGGAACAGCAAATAGATGGTGATGTTCATAACCATGACAATGAGCACAAGCTGAAAGAGAAAAAAGTATTATTTTCATATATATCATCTCTCCCTTTCTCCAATTCTATCGACTTCTTGATATAGATGCATATATAGTAAATTTTATTATCTTTTATAGTTTGAATTCATACAGTCATCTGTTTTTCCAGCAAGAAGTATATATATATATATATATATATATATGTCGAGTTGGCCAGTACAAATTATTGTGTTTGTGTTCAAAAATTTAAATTCAAAACATTTTGTTGTTGTTTTGGGTAAAATATTTGGTCTTTTTTTTTAATCAGAAATCATGGGGGAAACTATCTCGGCCCGATTCTTTCAGCATAGAGGCCGGGAAAACTCCAACAAATACTGTTTATCCCTCATTGGTGCGTATCTAATTTTTTTTTGGTTTAAATGCGTATCTAATTTAATTGCACATTCTTGTTTGATGAAGAAGATTGGTCATAGAAATATATAAAACTATGTATATAAGTTTGGTGATGTACGAAAAATATATAGATGAGCTGGAGAACGACGATGAGTTTGGCATTTCAGAGCCTAGGAGTGGTGTATGGAGACATTGGGACATCGCCGTTGTATGTGTATGCAAGTACTTTCACTGAAGGCATCAATGACAAAGATGATGTTATTGGCGTTCTCTCGCTCATCATCTATACTCTTACTCTCGTTGCGTTACTCAAATACGTTTTCATTGTTCTCCAGGCTAACGACAACGGAGAAGGTACTATTTCTTATTTTATAGACTGATGATGTTTCGTTTAATTTGTTTGCACATAGTAAACTATAACTTTACTTTACCATCATGTTTCATGTTTCAAATAAGACAATATAACTTTCTTTCTTATTTAAAATAGGAACTAAAACGAATACACAATTCTAATTTTTTTTTTTTTGCATATCAAAGATACAAAATAAAATTCTGTCTATAAATATAAAATCATAGAACATTCTTTGTTACGAGAAAAGAAATAGCAATCCATCGGATCGCCCAAGCTTGGGAAGGACACATATAAATATATTAAAATTATGGCTTAAAAATCAAGGTTTTTATATATTTGATTAATGTTTTTCTTATAAGTTATATATCCAGCGTTATAAAGAAACAAATGTAACGTGCAGCTTCACTTATTTTCTAAATTATGATTTTATGAGTCAATCATGATCGATGGTCGATGAAGTATATTATAGAACAATTTTTTTTTTACTAAAGACTTATATAACTTTTTTTGCCATCTAGTAAGTTGTACAAGATGACAAGAAAGGAATATAATATGGTAACTTTGTTAAAAGTTAAGATATGTAGTAATTAAAGCTACAAAAATATACACACACGATGGTTGCGGTTTTATTGGATCCACATTAAGATTTAGTAGATCTATAATGAGTTAATAATCTAATAAAGAATCAAAACTCCACTAGATTTTTTTAATATATAAAAATATAGCTAAATAATAAAACGCAATTGTTACTATTGACTATGTACTTTGTGACGCACGTCCTGCAGATGAACAATTTTGTACGATGTCGCATGTTGACCATTTTTATATACTAATGGACAATGGTTACAAACATACAAGTGACTCGATTCGCGCGATCCAATAAATAACTATTCTTGTTGCTTAAGTAACGCGCGTCTAGAGCTCGTACGAGTACACCGTTGACTTTAATTATATGTATACAGATTTTTATTATTTCTAGTGAACATGTTAATACTAATATCTTTTTCGTTTATGATTGTTCAAAATGACGTAAAGTCTAAATGTCCCGGACCGGTTCGGTCGAGAGAAGGCCACGTTCAATAAGAGAAAATTTCAAACTAGGGTTTGTTTAGGGCTGAAGGAGAGGGGGAATTAATCGAAAAAATCCTAGATTATAGAGTATTCGTCTCAATCGTTTTCTCTCGTTCGTTTAACGTTTTTTACGAATTCATTGTTCTTCACTAACAAACTCATAACAATACTTCACCTATATGAATAATACTCATTGTTGTTTTGGGGGGTTTTAGTAATGATGTTCATTGTTCGTAATTCAATAGATTATTTTTGTTTTTTAAACTTTGTTTTGATGTCTATATATTATGATTTCTCAGCTAGTGAGACAAGACAACTAGACAAGATGTTATAGATTAATGTCAAGACAAAGATATAAACATGCCTGATATATAAGAAATAGGTTATACATGCCGAATCATATGACAAAATTGGTGAATGCAGGAGGAACATTTGCGTTGTACTCATTGATATGTCGTTACGCAAAAACGGGACTAATCCCAAACCAAGAACCAGAAGATAGTGACGTCTCAAACTATACACTTGAACTTCCAAACACACAGCACAGAAGAGCCCACAAGATCAAAGAGAAGCTCGAGAACTTCAAATTTGCTAAGATCATACTCTTCCTCGTCACTATTATGGGCACTTCCATGGTCATTGGTGATGGTATTCTCACTCCTTCCATATCAGGTAAATAGCTATAAAAAATTACGGACCGTACCATCAATCGATTATATGTATTTTTGGCAAAATTCGAACTAATATATTTTCATGCGTTTTGATTGTATTTTGATCCAGTACTTTCAGCAGTGAGTGGAATCAAATCGCTCGGGCAAAGTAAACTGAACACATTCATCTTTTCTCTTATATTAATTTATATATGTAAATGCAACTAACGTACGTAAATGTGATATAAATGACATTTGATGCTAATGTGCAGACACGGTCGTTGGTGTTTCGGTTGCAATCTTGATTCTGCTATTCGCATTTCAACGGTTTGGAACTGACAAAGTCGGGTTCTCATTCGCTCCGATCATCCTCGTATGGTTCATGTTTTTGACCGGAATTGGTCTATTTAATCTGTTCAAACATGACATTACTGTCCTAAAAGCACTTAATCCACTCTATATTATTCACTACTTTAGAAGAAATGGTAAAAAAGGTTGGATTTCCCTCGGAGGTGTCTTTCTCTGCATCACTGGTGAGCGTCCATATCTGATTTATATTTTGATACTCACATGTTAAATTTACTTTTTGGTGATTGGAATGTAATTTTGTTAATTAGGGACGGAGGCCATGTTTGCTGATCTAGGTCATTTCAGTGTTCGAGCCGTACAGGTTATTACTTATTTTAATATCCCTTACCTATATAACAAAATAATTTAAGAGGATATTCAACATACATGATAAAAATGAGGTATATCTTATATCAAAAGTTACATTGAACTTTAAATAATATTCCATCGGTTTCAAGATATAAATTTTCTAGTTTTTGATTTTGTTTTATAAAAATATAATTGTTTTAAAAATTTTATGCATGTTTTTACTAATGAATGATAACAAATTTCAAATTTATAAAAGTAGTTCCTGAAAATAAATGAATTTTATAAATTACTATTGGTTTAAGCCATCTAAATTGTTTAACCCAAAATGAATACATTTACGATTGAACTTTAATTATTTCTTAATATGTATGAAAACTTAAGAAAATTTGTATTTTTAAACGGCTGGTAGACATAGACCAATACACGAATTGCCGATTAGTTTGGAGGTTCATGAAACCTAACAACACATATCTATTTTTGATGTAATTCACTGACCCAATTTTGCCAAAAAAAAAATGTTGCAGATTAGTTTCTCATGTGTCGCATATCCAGCGCTAGTAACGATATATTGCGGCCAGGCTGCATACCTCACTAAACATGCTTCCAATGTTTCAAATACTTTCTATGACTCTATCCCAGGTTTGTTTATCTAAAATTACATAACTTTCAAATTTAAAAGTGCTTACTATCAGTGTCCTCAATGAATGTCTAAAGTAATGAAGATAAATGTGAATGTTTATGAACTTCCACCTCAAAATTAATTGGAAACAAATAATTCCTACTCAGTATCAATATACATATATCTAACCACATAACATTGGATGCAACTAAACAGATCCATTTTACTGGCCAACATTTGTGGTTGCGGTCGCAGCATCGATCATAGCCAGCCAAGCTATGATATCGGGCGCATTCTCGGTCATCTCGCAGTCTCTACGTATGGGTTGTTTCCCTAGAGTGAAAGTGGTTCACACCTCGGCTAAGTACGAGGGACAAGTGTACATCCCCGAGATCAACTACTTCCTAATGCTCGCATGTGTGGCTGTTACTCTCGCCTTCCGAACAACCGAGAAGATAGGACATGCTTATGGGATCGCCGTTGTAACCGTCATGGTCATCACGACCTTTATGGTGACTCTCATAATGCTTGTTATTTGGAAGACCAACATAGTACGGATCGGTATGTTCTTGATCGTCTTTGGGTCTATAGAGACGTTATACCTATCCTCGGTCATGTACAAGTTCACGAGCGGTGGGTATTTACCGCTCGCGATAACGCTAGTTTTGATGACGATGATGGCGATTTGGCAATACGTTCATGTTCTCAAGTACCGGTACGAGCTGAGGGAGAAGATTTCTGGTGAAACCGCTATACAAATGGCTTCAAGCCCTGATGTAAATAGGGTTCCAGGGATTGCGTTATTCTACACGGAGCTTGTTCACGGTATAACTCCACTGTTCTCTCACTATATCTCGAATCTTTCGTCCGTCCACTCGGTTTTCGTCTTGATATCAATCAAGTCACTTCCCGTGAGCCGCGTGATGCCATCAGAGCGCTTCTTTTTCCGCTATGTGGAGCCAAAGGATTTTGGTATGTTTCGATGCGTGGTTAGGTATGGTTACAAGGAAGACATTGAGGAGCCTGATGAGTTCGAGCGTCAGTTTGCTCATTACTTAAAGGAATTCATACATCATGAGTATTTCATTTCTGGAGGAGGAGACGTGGACGAGACGACAGACAAAGAAGAGGAACCTAATGTTGAGCCTTTGTCTAACTCTGTCCCTTCGTCAGGTCGGATCGGGTCCACGCATTCGTCGTCGAACAAGATTAGGTCGGGAAGAGTCGTGCAGGTTCAATCCGTAGAGAATCAGACGGATTTGGTGGAGAAAGCTAGAGAGAAAGGAATGGTTTATCTAATGGGAGAGACTGAGATTACGGCGGATAAAGATTCTTCTTTGTTTAAGAAGTTCATAGTAAATCATGCTTACAACTTCTTGAAGAAGAATTGTCGAGAAGGAGACAAAGCACTTGCCATTCCAAGGTCGAAGCTTCTGAAGGTTGGCATGACTTACGAGCTATAAGATTTTCTAATTCGTCTTTTGTGTTTGTATCTGTGTGTGAATTATACGTGTGGTTTAAGTTCATTGTGACCTAAATGGAAGTGTATGTCTAAGCAACGCTTGGTTTGTTTTATTTATTTTTGAGTTTATTACCTAAACTAACTTTAATAAATAGGATATTTACTAGATTAAAATCATACTAAGTGACTCTAACTAGAATAACCTTAATAAATTTGTAAAATACCATTTGGGATAAAACATCTATAAAATAATAATTTTGCCATTTTAAGAATAAAATGATTATTTAGTAATAAAAATAAAAATAAATTAAATCAGTAATTCTGAAAAAAATTAAAAGAAATATTAAAATTGTAATAAGAAAGAAAAATATTCCCAAAAGTTATTTGCTGAAACTAAAAAAAAACTCGCCGCTACGGAAATCCTAAATCTCTCTTCTGCGACGGGCGATTCTGGAGTGGCGGAATTTCGCTTTGCTGCAACGGGCGATTCTTTCGTTTGTGGCATATAGTTATTGACGATGGCGGTGTCTCATTAGCAGTGACGGCGGTACCTCTTTCGTTTCAAGTAAGTGGTTTCATCTTCGATTGAAGTCAAATTTTTGTAGATCTAGGGTGTTATCGGAGTAGTGGATTCACGATTAAACTCGATTAAAACTGGTTTCATTTTCGATTCAGCTGGTTTCAAAATAAAAAAATTATGGATTAATGGTGACCATGAACCGTGGATTTTTATTTATTTGCAGTACAACGATGACTACAATGACGGAATCCAATGATTATTGAGACTTGAACCACGAATAGGTAACCGATGAGGATAAAGGCGGAATCCGGTGGGAATATAGGCGGAATCCGGTCAGGATAGAGAAAGGTAACCTGACCTGTGGCTTGTTGTTTTATGGATGGTTTTGTGTGATGGTAGATTTGTTTAAATGTGGTAGAATTGATAGATGGTAAGTCTTAATTGTTTTTGGTGGTGGACTTGATGGTTTGTTGTGGTAGACTTGTTAAGCTAGACTTTTGAAGCTAGACTTGTTGGTGGACTTGATGATTGAGGCGCTTCGTGGTAGACTTAATGTATAACTTTTTATGTTGTAGTAGACTTGATAAGTTGTCTTGGTAGACTTGTTGGTGGAGTTGATGGTTGTCGCATGGATAACTATTTTGTGGTAGTAGACTTGATAAGTTTTCTTGGTAGACTTGTTGGTGGAGTTGATGGTTGTCGCGTGTTGGTGGTAGACTTAATGGATGACTTACTTTAGTTTTGGTGGTAGACTTGATAAGTTAAATTTATTGGTAGAGTTGGTTGCTTTGTTTTGGTGGTAGACTTAATGGAGGACTTATATATAATTTTTTGCAGCTTAGTGGATGGCGTCGTCACGCGAGAAGAAGCTGAAATACCCACCTCGACTGTTTCTGCCGGAGAAATCTCCTGTTCAGAAGAGGAGTTTGAACAACTACTGTCATTTGACATATTTTGAGATGTTAAAGGAGGGTGTTGGTGAGGATGTCTACAATGACATAAGGAACAATTCTCAAGTAGGAGTGGTATTGAGTCTTGCAGAGAAGACGTATGTATGGGCCACAAAAATAGTTTATAACATGGTAACAAATCAACTGGCTATTGAACAAAGTTACGAGATTTGGACTCTTATCGGTGGGCGTCCAGTGCGGTTTTCGCTCCACGAGTTTGAAGATATAACCGGGCTCAACTGTCAGCCCATTGGGGACGAGCACAACATGTTGGGATATTTCGTATTAATCAGAATAGTCGACTTTCTTTGGACTGTGCGAAGAGACTTATGGGTGACGAAGCTTTTAAGAGTTATCCATAAGGGCGTGTTAGAGATGAGATTCGTACCATCTGTACAGGCCCGATATGAATTCTGGTCGGCCCATTCTACAAGTTTTCAGGTCGGCTGAACAAATGGAAACCTTCCATTTATCGAGCGAACCCGGGAAAAAGGAAATTCCTTCTTGTCGGCAAGAAGACTTTCCTATTCTAAACACACATCGAAGACCGGCCTGATCAGCTATAAATATGGAAAGCCCTCGACTTCTCAGATGATCCAAAAATCATCTATCGAGACCTAGGGCAAACTAAGCAATCTGATTGTTCTAGTTTTCGATTTACTTTTCTTTAAAAAGTTTAGGTCGGCGTTCTTATTCAAACGACCTAAACCTCCGTGTATTCATTCAAGCTCCGGCTTCTTCTAATAAAAGACTTCTCTTTAAACCCACAAACCCTAGTTCTTTCGTAGATCAAACTTGAGTTTTTACAGTTGGGGCCAATCTTTGACTTAGAACGGAGCTCAAAGATGGCTGAAACACCGATCAACACCACCGATCTAACCACGGGAGCCACTGACTTCACAGGAGGATCCACCGATCTTGCAGGGGGAGCTGCCGATCCAAGAAGAAACGCCCAGGGTCCGGTCGTCGACCCAGTCACTGGACTCCCAGTGATCAACCAGACCGATCAGCATGAAGATACCACAGGCGCGACAGATCAGGTCAGCCGGACCGGTGGAACAAACACGACCAACCTGCCACAACCGCCTCCCATCGACATGGCCACCATCATCAGATCGGTCACAGCACAGCTACAACAGGGAATGGATGCTCGCTTCGAATCCCTACGTGCCGAGCTGATTGCCTACCGAGAAGACCTAGATCTGCTTCTCAACTCTAGGGTTCATACCCAAGAGCAGGCCGATCTAATTACCCCCCTCGCCCTCCGATCCGCAATACAGATACGACCAGACTGGTCAACAACCTATTCGGCACCATGCCGACAGACGACCTACGGAAAGCACAGGTAGAAGGCTCGAATGCTCGCTCATCCCGCAACACCGCAGGTGCCGACCCGACGACGGTCTCGGAACTTGATCTTCTCCACCAACGCTTTGACGATATCTACAGCAAGATCCACAAGCCGATGACCTCAGCATCAGAGTTATATAAGATCCTCTAGGAGACGCAGCAGACCCCGTTCACGTCGGCCATCACCAATGCTACTCTCAATGACATAGGCCGGATGAAGCTACCTCCAAGTTACACCGGAATGACAGACCCGAAGCGATACCTGATCGCGTTCAACGCAGTCATGGGACGCGCTTGCTTCACTGACGAGGAGCGGGAAGCATGCCTTTGTCAGTACTTCGTGGAGACGCTCTCTGGAAGCGCCCTCACTTGGTTCTCGCAACTTCCCAAAAACTCCATCGATAGCTACAAGGAGCTCACAGCTCAGTTCCTTAAGCATTATTCGATCTACATCGACACGGAGTCCACGGTACTCGATCTATGGACATGCGTCCAGGGTGACACGGAGCCGTTGCGCGACTTCATCGACCGGTTCCGATCGATCGTTTCCCGATGCAGTTTATCGGACGAGCTCTCCCTCAACATCCTCATCAGGAACTTGAGAGATGATTCATCGTACTGCGAGCGATTGAAAACGAGAAAGACCATAACCCTAGAAGATGCTTTGCACAAGGCAACCGGCTATATCAGGGTCGAAGATGATCGGGCGGCCAGGGCCAAGGCCAAGTTGGCCGACGAGAAGTCTTCGCGCGAGAAGAAACCCAAATCGTCGGCTCAGGACGATTACAAAGAGCCTCGTCAGCACTACGATAAAGATGATAAGAATCGTAAGAGTATCAACGCTGTTGGACGACCGAAAAAGCCATGGAACGTTTGGGACCGTACGAGTGACATAGACCCTGATAATAAGAAGCTGTGGTGAAAGTACCACAAGGCACACGGCCATCATACCGATGACTGCCGTACCCTCCCGGCCCTCTTGAGAAAGGCGTAGAAAGATGGCGAGTGCACCATACCTGAGCCCCGGAGTTCTTCACGATGATCCAACGAGGATCAAGACAGGCGATCCGATGGCGATCGAGACAGAAGAGTCGATGCTGATCGAGATAGAAGAACCAATGCTGATCGCCCATCTTCTAAACGCAAAGGCAAGGAAGCAAAGCGTGATCGTGAAGACGATCACACACCCCCGAGATCGCCACGTCGGCAGATCAACATGATCATGGGAGGGCTTCTCTCGTGCACCGACTTGATCAATTCGATTAAACGGCACGAACGAAAGGCAGCCAACCCTCCGAAGGACGCCCCACTTCTGTTCAAAGATGACCTACCGATCACATTTACGGGGCAAAACGCGCAAGATATAGACCGACCTCATAACGATCTACTCGTCATCTCACTGCGGCTCGGAGAACACGACGTCTCCTAAGTGCTGATCGACACAGGAAGTTTGGTCGACCTCATCTTCATGGATACTCTACGCAAGATGAGTATCCCCGAGTGGGACATTAAAATCGCACCATCACCCCTCACCGGGTTTGCTGGAGATTCGATCTCCACGATAGAAACTATAACGATGCCTGTTACCATACGCGGGAAGTCAATTACGGTCAAGTTCGAAGTTATCGACCGACCTGCAATCTATAATGCCATCCTTGGAACACCCTGGCTGAATGCCATGCGGGCCGTCCCTTCTCCTTACCACCAATGCATCAAAATGCCGATCAGGGGCTGTGTCATCACCATCCGTGGCGATCAGACAGTGTCTCGACATTGTTACATCGACAATAAACGCGCCCGCAAAGCATCGACGTTTGTGATCGGCCGTAGCAGCTACTTCGATCCACATATAATTTACCACGACGAGAAGCCGAAGAGCGATCTCATCGTCCAGGTCAACATCGATGCTGCTCACCCAGAGCGTCGGCATCGGCACGGAACTGTTTCCAAGCATGCAGGACGAGCTGATCAGTTTCCTCTGGGAGAACATCACAACGTTTGCGTGGTCCATGGCCGATATGAAGGGCATTAGCCCTCGAATCACGAATCACGAATCACGAGTTGAACGTCGACCCCACTTTCAAGCCGATCAAGCAGAAGCAACGGAAGTTAGGACCTGAGCGAGCACAAGCCGTCCACGATGAAGTAGATAAGCTGCTGAAGGCTGGATCAATTGCC